AAAGGGTTTAGGCCACAGCTCAGATGAGCTCGGGACACCTCCAAGTCGACGGGCACGCGAAGCTGAATCTCCTGACCATAGCGCAACAATCTGACTGAAGCAGGCACGGTTGTAAACATGGCGAACCCCCATGCAATCAAGTTACTCTCAAGCAGTTTGGATTCTGACAACTCACGCTAATTGCAAGCAACCTCTTCCATCTCTGCATTGCCTTCGCCTCGGACTGTCAGCATGGAGGCCAATGTGGCTGGCTGCATTGACACTTGGGGGATGTTCCACCGTGCACCAACGGAGCTCAACCAACTATCAGCTAGCCCTTGGGCACAGGAACCAGGTACCTGCAAAACCAATTTGGCGCCGTCTCCAGCGCAAGGCTTGCAAGATTCGATCATGTACGATTCTTTTACTTTCCTCCCCACACAACCTGAAGCGTGATGAGATTCGTGCCATCTGCCGCGGCCGACGTTGCAGAGTCAGCCTGTTGAACTTTGCGCGGCTTGCATTTCTTTGACGTCAAGGAATGCCCAGAATCGCAGTACTAGACTCGCAAAGGAGTGCCAGTTGCAGGTCTTTACAATGTGTTCACACAGCAAATGTTGGAGCCTCAGCAGTAGCTGCCAACGAGAATATCTGCCTGGCAATCCAATCTCCATCCCCGCGTCGTGTTCAGTATTGTGCTGGGCGTCAGAGTCTTGCGGCAAAATGACTCAAGAATGTTGAAGAAAATGCAGCGTCACCCCTGAGTTTGCAGAGGCGAAACGTGCGAAGAATCCTAGCTCCACTTCTGTTGGGCTTCTTGTTGCTCTCCATTCTTTCATGGACAACAGTGTCCGAACATAAATAAACGTTGACATGTCGCGCTTCCCACTCATTGTAATGCTGGCATCACTATTTCGCACGTGATTCTCAGATTCAAAAACTAGCCACTTTCACCCTCGGTCGGTCTACGGCTCCATGCCGCAAATGGTGCTGCCGACATGCGAAACCCATCGAGCTACTTGTTCCAATAAAGGGCGACGCATGCGACGCTAGTCTAGAGTCTCCACACGTCTTTCTTGCGACCGGTGGTCAAGGCGAAGTGTCCACGCCTTTGTGGCACGTAGGTCTCCTTTGCCATCACAAGGTTCAATTGCAGGTTGCAAGTTGGCTGTTATTCTTTGGCGCATACTTGCTTCACTGACGCACATGCCGGGCACCAAATCCATTTCCCAGACTGTCAGGTTTGACATGCGACGTTACCTTGGCGAGAGCATCCGAATTCGAGTTTGCGTCCAAAAAACAGCAGATTTTGATTTGACTAACAGCGTTGCCCAAGAATAACATCCCCGTACGGCTATGGCAGCTGAAATCCTGACAAATTCCATGGCCTTACAGGTTGTCACGCTGGCCAATGCCCCTCCAAAACAAACCAAAGAAATCAAGCCCCCGAACCCTCTAATTCCAACTGTTGCATGGGAGACCCGTGAGAAAAAAGGCAGCCAAACCGGCGGCGGCGGAGCCTGCCTTCGAGATGCGGGGCTTGAAGATAAAGCGCAAAATAGAGACAGAAGGAGGAGCACCAACGCAAAAGGAATGGAACAACACGGATAGATCTTCATAGTTTGCCAACACATGGGGGGCCACGAAGGCAACACTGGAGAAAGTGTTCGCGCTGCTTTGAAGCGCCGTTCAACTCGGACTATGGCAAGGCTGGAAAACGATCTTCTCCCTAGCTCCGGGATTTTATCGTCTGATGTCGTTTGACTTTTGCACGCCCGAAATACGAGCCACCCAAGATCATGACTCGGAACGCGTGGCGACTCAACGTCATGGGCACGATCTGCTTGAAGAGCCATCGGATGTGTTGGTGAAGATGAACATCACCCTTCTGCAGGAAATCACTGAATGTGCTGCAAGAGGTCAAAGAAGTGGCAAGCCCAGGCAACATAGAACGTTGAGCAGTAGCCATAGATCCGTGGAGAACCTCACTGGAACTAAGGCAACCAGGGCGGGTCATGGCAGATTCACGCAAGTGCCGACCGACACTGCATGGACACATTTGTTCATATCTTGCAGTATGCCACAGCCATCCATAGGCATGGCAAACATCTCACATCAAGTGGAGGAAGCCGCCGCACGCGGAGCACAAACATAAAAGGAAATGAATGGTAGGCGTGGGCGCGAATGAGAAAAAAGATAGGGGCAATAAATATGGATTGCGGGCGTTTCCGTCCTCCGCAATGTGCAAATCTTCCCTCCTGTTACCCTTACAACGAACGGATGCCAGAAGAATGTCATGCTCCCAAATGTGATGATGGCCCAAGAAGGAAGCCCCCCATCTGTCAAAGACATTGTCTTACAGGTCCCGACCAGAAGCACTTAACCTTCCCAATTTCACGTCCTGCCTTGTGCTGCCAGGCGCACAATAATGCCCCACGTACGAAGAGGCATCAAAATCCTCTGCAACACCGTGTAACGCGACAACGCAGTGATCAATGCGGCAAACACAAAAAACGTCAGCCGCGTTGACAACTCACGAACATCCCGAAGTTCTTTTGTTACGCACAGTCAGTCAGCCAGCCAGTCAGTCAGTCAGTCATACGCCAGACGGCGCGTGGACAAGACAAACGAATGGTGTCCAAGTCTGGCGATTTCGCGGTTGTCGCCTAGATGCTAGACAAAAAACCTCCCATTTGGCGATGAGTGGCGAGTTTGCTGGCTGGGGTCTCCCCTTGCCAAAGCAGGGTGCTGCATGGCTGAAAGACCTCTCCCGCTTCCTTTCTTTCATGCGGGCAATGAGGCTACCCGGAGGTAACCCCTGGATCAATCACTCCCACACGCTGCTCTTCCGCTCTTTCTTCTTCTTCTATTGTTGGCCATGCGCGCTGTCGTGGGCACGCTGGGGCTAGGCCCCAAGCCCTGACTAGTGAGGCGTCCGCTCTCTTCCTCTTCTATGCGCTATACGCAGTCCCAAGGACTCGGGCTACGCCCGCAGCGCAGGGTATCTACACCATTCAGAAATGCTCGGAAAATCTTTGCAAGGACACGCTGTAACTTTCCTCCCGTCTTCTTTTTTTTGCTAGGGTCCGCTCTCCCGCTCCCTCTCAATTGAAAGACGCCTAGCAACAGACAGTGGGTCCAGTCAAGTCAGTGTCACTTGCTTGCCTTCCATCAGTAGTGGATGTCGGGGCTAGCGCTTGACCTACAAGTACGCGTGAGTTGCATGACAGCACCCATTCGGCAAAAGCTGTCCTGGCTGGTCGCGCTCATTTTGGTATTAGCTTTTTCTGCCTGCGCCGTCTTCGCCCACATGGTACCTCTTGAAGGCTGCGCACACAGGCTGACCGCTTTTGAAAAAGGGTGAAACTGAGCACGAAGGCACTGCCATTTTGCAGAAGCTTTTGGATGCCCTTCCACAAGTTTCTATGCAACAACCATGAAACTTCTCACATACCTTGCCAGCTGAGGGGCTATAATGCACTGAAAATTCAATCGTATCCAAGTCCTAGTCCTACGCAGAGCTCGCACTGGACTCCTCTGCTGCATCTTGCCTGAGCGAAGCACATCGCTAAACAGCAAACCCAAGCGCTGCATCAGTAGACTGGCAATTTGCCTCAGCTTGCCCAGCGTCTAGGACAGACAGACTTGGCTCCGGCCTCCTCCTTCCCTGCTCCAACCCCAAACATCTTTTGCTTTTGTCACCCGACCCTCTCTGCCACCCTCGTCCGAGAACAAGCCAACGTGTTTGACGGCACGTCACGGTCTCGCTTGGAGCAAACCAGGAAGCCGAGGCGAACCATCGCAAGCAATTGCAATCATGGACCCATGGATTGTAACAACGGTGCCTGGCCTGCCTGTAAACTTCTCATGAGTGCATTGCCTGCTGAACCCACTATGACGTCCACAGGACGGCCGCCCGCCTGCTGTCCGTGAATCCACTTCCTGAACATTCAACTTGTAACAGACGGCATGTTAGCATGCTTTCATACTCTCATTGCACAGAGCCCAGCAGCTTCTTTGCCTGGAGCTACAACATATGAAAACTCAAGCATATCAGGCCTGCTCCAATCCTGACAAGTTCACAGCAGTGATGGCTTGCAACAATTGCACACAAGCTTCGCAACGGCTCTTGCGACAAAATCACAACGCAGTCCTCTGCTTCTCTGGCTTTTTGTTCAGCTGCGCCAGCAAGTATTTCTGAGAGCCATTCGAACAGCACATGCACAACAACACAGTGAAACTCTATGAATGGAACGATCATGGCTTGTGTTATCAAATGCATCTGTCCAGGTGGCCGGACAATTCTTGCGTATCGGTCAGTTTCCAACTCCTCCTCCGGCCACTGCATGTCAGGAGAGCCTTGGGCAACGCAGTTGAAAGACTGCAATTGAGGCATGCCGCGTTGCTGTATTGCGCAGTGAAACAGATGCAACGACGAGATCACTCCGTTCCTCAAGACGGTGGGCTGGGCTCCGAAACCATCGGAGTCGCAAAGTTAACATTGCTGCAAAAACAAGTAAACTTCAAGACCCCAGTGATGTAAATGAATCTTCTTATTTGCATAATACAGCCAAAACCCCAACAAGGGATAACGTAAGCCCCTCTGACACAGTTGAAGCCAAATACAGACCAATAACGATTGGAGTAGGGATTGTCAGAAGAGAAATTGTCTAGTAAGGGAGAATGCTAGCAGCAAAGAAGGTACCATCCAGGACCAGGCCGTATTGAAAAGCTTGAGGGATTGGGTCTTCAGACCATTTCAGACCCAACAAAAACAATGCCTGACCGTGGCCGTTGTCACGTCTTGTCTTCGTTCTTCATTAACGCGCATGAGAAAGCACTTCTCATTGACGTGACATCATCAACCCTACTGATTTGCGTAGCAGCCCCATCAAATAAGATCATCCTGCGAAACGAAACATTGATTTCTTCTGTAGGGTCAAGCTTCCAGATTCACATCATGAACTGGGATTCCAACATTACAGCTCCTTGGAATGCTGTCCCGGTGTGGAGAACCTTTTTATGAATATTCTCTTCACAGCCAAGCACCGCATACGCAAATGCATGCTAATCCCAACATGTAGCAAGATGTTTTCTGGAGCATAAAATAGCCAGCTGTCCCAGACATGGTGCGCGGAAGAGTACAGAGCAAGGGGGGCCGAGGAAGGGGCACTCAAAACATAAATGACTCCGTTCTTTTTTAGACCCCCTCCTCACCCCCTCCTCTCCTAGAGCACAGGCCTGCAGCCATTGCCCGCTTTCAGGCCCTTCCTAGAGAAGGCCCATCATCCATCTCCACAAAGCGTCCAGAAACTTGCATGAACGATTACCTTCTACTAAAGCGACTGCAGAAAAAGCAACGGGGTCCACTTCTGCCAAGGCCACACGGCTTGTGGTTGAGGATCTCGCCATGCTTTTGTATAACATTTTGAAACTTTGTAAGCTACTGAAGACATCAACTAGGCTGGCCCCCAACTCCCGATTTGAGAAATAAGCCCTACAGCCCTATCTGAATAAGTATGTCTAATGAGTGCGGGATTCGACTTGAGTGTCGGGGACGCTTGACAGAGTTTAGGACAAGTGAGTTGGCAATTTTGATTTGGGGGCTGATGGGGCTGCTTTCTTACTGCTTCCGTCGAAAAACCTAGATGTCACTTTGGGTCGCAATGTTCTGCACGATTCACGTTAAATTGAATGCATCTCAGGTCGTCCTGCTTTTCTTTCATGTTTGAGCTCCTGAATCCAGTTTAGCTGTTGATCCTCAGGACCTTCAGCAGGCCTCATCCATGACAGCTTCTATTGGCTCTATTGTGCCTGAAAACACCCAATCCACAAACTACACCCATATCAGCGCCGTGAAACTCTCCTATGACTACGTCAACGTGGCAATGCTTGCCATGAGATTACTGGCTTCCACGCCCCAAGTCAAGACCAGCTTTCAAGCGGCAAGAAACGAGCTAGCCTTCGAAGCAGCAATAGATCAACTTCCTTTACTGGGAGTCGGGAGCTCTTTTGCACGGGTTCAGGATGAGTCTCAGATTTATAACCTCGCTTTGGCCTCTGACCAACGAGCGTCTGGAACCAGCTCAGCAGGATCCAGCCTTCTCCCCCTCTCCCTACCTTCCCCCACCCTCACATTAATTCGCTCACACCCCGCCGGCCCCTCGAGTCCCTCAAAAAGTCCTATCCCCTAACGACGCTCGTTTTCTGGGCCCCCAGGCTTCTCTGGGGCTAGCTGCTTTATCCCACTAGACCCTCTACTTTGTAAGACTTACCTGCTTTGCGACTTTAGCCCGGGCAGCCCAGGCGGACACGCGCTGGCGCTTACAATTACAATCAGCACAGGCAGCAAACACTCTATCAAACACATGCTTCAAGCTCGCAAGCTAAGCTAACAGCTTGCGTCACCAAATTGCGTGCTCGGAGCACCGAGCAAGGCGCCGAGCGACGCCAACAGACGCCAAGCTTTAACAGCTTGCTCGCTCGGCTTCACTCGGCGTCGTTCAGCTGCGCGTGTTCTCGTATCACCAAGCCCCGACAGCAATCATTTTTTGATGAGCGCTTTATTAGTTCGAGGACGCTTGCAGCAGTTACAAAATTAGAAAACACGCGCAAGACAACCAGACCATGCTGACTCTTTCTGGAACACTCAACATCTGCAAGCTACCTTAAAGAACAAAACCGAACTACTCTGGGCCCTTATTGTGATTGACCGACCGAGCCATGGTACGATTCTTAAAAAATGCGGAAAGTCGGTGTTGGCAGGGTTGAAATATTCTGCTGTTTCGGTATGGCAGTCTGGGCGACGAAGCATTGAGAAGTGTAAAGCTTTCAGCCTCTTGATAACGTTCTTACCCTGTATGTACATCTTTCTATGTATGTCTTTCTGGTCAAACAAATTCGAAAGCATTACAACTGTAAACTAGAGGGAACTTGACTGCTGTGACATGACAGGGACCGGACACTTTGGGTTGACCCGCACCTTAAGGAGTTGTACTCCTTTTCGCTGCGCAATGCTGAAACAAGATTAAAGATGAGCTTGCCTTAAAGCATTTTGAAATTTTACCGATCACCTCCTACCAGTTGACATTCTGCATGCCGGATCATGCCGGCAGAAGTCAATCTCCCCTTCTCCGAGGTCCCAGCTTGTGCCTCCAAAACGGAGGATGATATCATCAGACGTGGGATTCAAATTTGCAGGCTCGCCTTGATTAACTAGCAGCTCCATGGGAGAAGACTTCTAAGATGTGGTCTTAGCATCAAGCGAATCTGGATACCTCCTCCCAAGCCCACCTGCAAGATGCCACACTTCGTGTAACTTGCTCTGGCCACATTTCATTTACCGAGTGCGCTACATCACCCTCGTCAAATTCCAGAAGTTGATCAAAGCGCAGACCAGCGACCTGCCATGCAATGGTCACATGCAACTATGGACTTCAATGCGGATGTCAACTGGGCTGCGCACAAATCTTGCAAATCTCGCAGGAGGACATGCGGCCATCGAATCGACCTGAACATGGCTTGAACAGCGGCAGCCGCTTGCAAGCTCAGGCCACCCCCCCCCCCTTCCCCCGCTCGCTTTGGCGTCGCGCAATGAGCGACGCACGGGCCAAGCGGGCAAATCCCAGCATATCACCCTTAGCCAGTGCTGCATGCCATGTTCAGATTGACAGAGTTCTGACCGGGGTCTGAGCATAAACGTAGTCGTAAGAGCAATTCAGTTGAGCCTTGGGGCGTAGCATCAACAATCAAACTTAAATTTCGAGAAAGATCAGGGAATAGTCTCTTCCCACATCCAAGGCAAAATCGATGAGGAGATTGATCAACAAAATCGCTGACACGGTGATGAACAGCAGAACTGGCCTGAATTCTTCTCACGCAGACACACGCGGCGTTTGTCACATTTACGAACTGCTGCGCTATGCTCCGCTTCTTGAGGATCGAGCGCCAGAAGTGCAGGTTGGTGCATTAGTTCTCTGTAGTCACCCTCATATATGCCAACTGTCGTGGCAAACAAGCAGTTCGCCTGAGAAAGAGACCAACTTTGTGAAACGTACACTGGACTTTTGCTTCAGGAGACACACGTGCTGAGCGCGGGACAGCTTTAGGAAGCGTACTGAACTCCGCAACATCATGCCTGCAGAAAAGCACCCTCTTGATCCCTCCTACCGTCTGCACAACTACACACTACTTTTTACAAGCGTTGTGAAATTTCCAGAGAAAGCGTCCTCAGGGTGGCAATCGCACTGCTGAAAGTGATGAGAATGAATAGGATCGCGACCTGGGCCAAGTCAGGGCTGAGGTCTCGGGACGAACCTGCTTCGAGTGAATTATGGTCGCATGTGGTGGAGTTTGAGGCTCTGGTTTGACCATGGTGTTGGGGCGACTTAGCCCCGACTTTGGAAGGCCATGCAGCCGAGGCTCTAGGAATTTCCCCACCTCCGACAGCACTTCGCGACAAACCTGACAAGCTGGACAAGACCGCCAAGTTCTTATGGAGGCATGAAATCGTTGCTGAGGCTGCAGACCAACACGAATGCTGCAAGCTTGGTTGCAAAGACCGACAGATTGATGACGAGCAGCCAGTGTAGAACCATAGCACCTTCAGGGACCATCTGTCACGCGTCACCGCTTGGGTGTAGCCCACATCTGAAGAAGTCAGAGCCATGTTGATTGGGGCGATGGCCCATCGAGAAGATGATGTAGAAAGGCATGACTGGCTTCGCTGATCCCTCAGCCGCGTGGGAATCGTTCAGCTTGGAATTTCCTAGGTTGAACTGGTGCTGCAAGGTTAAGGGCCCAGCACAGGTCTCACTTGGTCCTGCGGGCCAGCATTGTAGGTACATGCATGGAGCACTATGGGAAAACGGGAAGAGCAAAGAGTGACGGTGATCCTTTGATTCCTTTGCTGCTGGTGTCGTTGTGACCGGCACTGTGGATCTTGTTTGCGGGCAGAGTGGACAGCTCCCCACAGTTCAGTTGCACGAAACTGTGCGCCTGAATCACTATGCCTGAAAGACAAGGCATCACGAACGCTTTGGGATTGGTCTGGAAAAGGTGTATAGATGATGGACACCTTCCTGTTGTCGAGGCCATCGACGCAGCAAGGTTGATTTAGATGGCAGACCTCGGATGCCTCTGTCTTGAACATGCCAATCCTTGGTCAATTGAAAAAAACACTCCATGCCCTCCTGTGGTCATGATCTCTTGTGCGCAGTAGAACATCGGCCTCAGCTCTGCAAAAGAACAGCACAGTGCGAAACCATCGATTCGTATCAGTAAGGGCCTGGCTCACTTGCACACATAGCTACAAGCATGAGTAGCAGGATGAAGCCCCTTGCAAAGCAGGACATTTTTTTCTAAGAAAGATCCTCCGCAACAAGCCGGACGCACAACTTCGCATCTTCATCCTTCAAATATTCTGGGACAGGCCTAGGTATGCGAATGCGCCTCATCATGCGTTCTATCCAAGGCTTGCAAACCAACTCGCCTTCGCCCTACAAACCAGGGAAATAAGAATGACTGGGCCACCCACACCCGTCCCACTTTCATTATCGTTCCAGCTCGGAATGCTTTGAAAATTCGGCGGAGATGGAAGACAAGAAGCCGGGTCATGCCTGGATTCCAGCACTTCACAGCTCAACGTTCGAGTCTAAGAACTCAAGGGGCGACAGTCGGCCCCCCGCTGAATGCATAGTTTATCAGGCGGCCAGCAAAAACAGCTATTCGCATGTTCAGCCTTGGCATGCTGAACACATGACACAGCCCGCACTGCAATGACCATGCTGCAATGCTGACTTGAAGTTTGAAAGGCTACGGCTCGTCAGCTGACTCGGTCTTAGGTAGAATTGCTTGGCTGAGCATGAAGACAACGAGGCTGAACCTCAAATGGCCACTGCTGGCTGCTAGCATATGAAACATTGGAGCACGATAAACCCTAAGAGGTGCGCAGGAAGCCAATCTTGGAGAAGATGAACTGTCGGCGCACCACGCCTGACCTCAGATGTCATCCACTACATGATGCGTGCCGTCGTCAACAGAAAGAGAACAAACCGTTACACTTCTTCGGCAAACAGAGGTGGTTTGGCTGCACGTCATCAGCTGCGTAAAGGTCCCTGAGAGCACTGCCACAGGGTGTCAGAAATCTGCACGACGACTTGATGCGAAATAATCTTCACATCCTTGCAGAAAACATTGCATGGTTGTCAAAATGCAATAGCTAGCCAAGAGCATCCACAGGATGATGAGGCACCTTTGCGTCTGCAATAGCCTTCAGTGCACCTGAGAAGGTGCCTTCCTGCAAAGACAGGGGCAACATAGTGACACAGTCTCACAGATTCCAGGCAAGCCCGCCTTGTTCACAACAAGATGCTTAACGTAGAAGTTGACGCGCCTGGCGGTGGACCAGGGGGCTCAGTCACGACAAAGGCTTGGACAAATGCGGCCTGGCACCGTTGATTGCACGCTTCGAGCGCCATACCAAGCCGTCCAGAAGCGTCGGCAGCAGCTGAAGTGCCTCTGCTGAATGACCACACTGGCACTGCAATGTTGCACCAAATGCGGCCGCCAGGCATCTGTACAAAGGCGCTCCACAATGTCGCCATGGGCCTGGAAGAGAGCATCGACCTTTGGCAGAGATGTTTGGCTTCCTGCCTTCAAAAAAGATTGATGCCAGGGCACCCCATAGTAGTACCTCTCACGATCAGCTCTTATCGTCAGCAGGTCCTGCTTGCAAGCTTGCTCAGAAGCGCGAGGATTCAGGGGAAGCCTACTCTCCAGCCGCTGGCCTGGATCATGGCTCGTGCAGCTTCCAGGCTACCACTCTGAATGGCCCAAGACCTCAGCAGCATCAGCAGCGTGCAGTGTTTTGCCAAGGAGGCAGCAGCAACGATGCCATTGGGGAACGTTGCAGAACGCTCTGTGATACGAATGCATGGAACTGCCTGTGGTACGTGTCGCGAAGTAGTGACTAGTACATTTAACTATGTCGCCCGCCCCTGGCAGCTGTCAAGAAGATAGATAGAACCATCTCAAAAACAGGCTCATGCCAAAGAGGCTCACATACTCCTAACATGGACTTCGCTTAGCTTTTGCCCAACTTGCGCCCACGCCTCGCACCCCCTGAGCACCCTGAGTTTTGCCCTCAAGACGACCCAAAACGGACCCAGCGGACCATGGCTTCACACCTGTCCACTGGCGGGGTCTAACCCTGACAAGCTCCTGACTTGGTCCTCATTTTGGGGGTTCCCCCCCCCCATACCCCTTTGGACTGATCAGCAAAGCTGGGCCTTCAACGAAAGCTCTTGGAAGGAAGCTTTTTTGAAACATGCAAGAGCAAGTTGGCACATCAGTTGCACTGAGCGCGCTGCAACGGCGAGATCTGCTGAGTGCCCACTTGAATGCGAAGCCTTAGGAGGCAGCTAAGCGCAGAGTTGGTCGCGCACTCAATAAAAAAAAGCTGCTTTTCAATGAAGCGCTTCCACCATGGGTCAACAGCTTTGTCCACTTCATCAAGAGTTACTCTCTCGTTCGTGAAACCTTCAGGCCGCGATCTATAAAACATGCAACTCAAAAAAAGCTGATAAAAATTCGACTGATCCTTGATCTTACTAATGTGCACCATGCAAGCCAGAAAGAGCTCATGTCCTTCATTCTTTCAATGTCTGTCAACATGTCAATGCAGCAGATGATACACGACTCAAGCGTGCGCAGTCATATCCTGCGGTATGACTTCCAAGTACGGGAGCCCCCTGCCTTCGACGTTGAATCTGGAAATTGCTCACAAGAGCAGTCAGAAGTTTACGTTCCGGAATTGTAAGGAAGAATTGCGACTGTGACATACGAGAGCAACGTCCGCGGTCACAAGCGATTGGTCCGAGCTACTGGGCCCACTGTAGATGTTGGACATGCAGCCGCTTGCGACTACAGAGCCGTCTTCAAATTTCGGCGAGGCAACAGGACATGCACGTGAGCATTTCCAAAAACGTCACACGGAGAGCCAGAGGCACGTGGAAGAAGAGAGGCATGGAAGACGACCAACAGTCACAGCGCAGTCACTTTATGCAGATGCTACACAGCAGGTTGATTTCCTTGCTCCTGGCCATGGGTTCCACAGCGTCCCAGAACCATGACCCCGTTTCTCCAAAAATATTGCAATGGTTTGTTTCAAGTTTTCAGCTCTGAAGTAATTCTCTGACATTGTCGGAGGCGGCGGTTCCAGCTTATGCGACACATTCCCCAGCTACTGCTTGGTTGGCCAAATGCCTGGATCATCCAAGGTGGGGACATCTACTCAAGTGACAAGCCTTCCTTCCAAGTGCGGCAAGAAGGCCGCAAGATCACGTGAGAGGTTCACCAGGGCTTCCAAGATGTTCAAAGGAAACGGCTTGACCGGGGTACCTTCAAGAAATCCTCTTACCTGTTTCTCTGACGGGATGTTCACAACTTTGTCCCACTTCTGCAAGATCCATGCCGATGTCCCAGGTGGTGTCCGAAGCCCCCCGGTCCAGAGACGGTTCGGGAACCTAGCGTGGGGATGATTCCTTGGAAACATCGTCAGCGGCAGCCGTCCCGGTGGAAATTTGGGTCCCGAGCCAAATATAAAGGCCAACGATGAGGAAACTGCAGTGTTCCTGTCCGCGTCATTCCCTATTAAGAAAAGGGCCGGGATGTTGTGCTATCTCAGAATTCCTGCCCCAAGGCCACCGTGCCAGATCACTGCTGCTAAACCAATGGACCAGAGCATCAGCCAATTGGTGCACTGCGCAACCGTGGTCTGGCTCCCCTCTTTTGCCCTCTCTCGGGGCTATTCAAACCCGAGACATGTAAACTTGCAACTGTGCAACCAATCAACCCACCAGCTCAGGATGCAATGACGATGTGTTGCACTCTGCGCTCTCAAGGCTGTTCTGCAAGTCTGTAGTGATCAATGGCAGAAAGCACCTTGTATAAGTTGGCTAACCTTATGAGGGTTACCTGGAACCAAAGATCGCACAGTTAACAACCGATGTGCACTGCGAAACATGTATATGGCAGATCACAAAGGGCTGGGCTTGTACACTCTAACGCCCCCACGTAGAGCTGCAAAACAACGAAATGTTCTGTTGCGAAACGTCGAACCGGAGCCCTGTGAATCACAACACTTTTGCAAAAAAACACAGACAAAATGTCTCGGTAATGTGTGTGATACCAGCACATTGGCTCATCAAGATGCACAATTTTTCGAATTGCGGTACCCTCCATGATGAGCATGGGAAAGATCATGTGAAAACGTTGTATCAGTCGTTCATGGGATGATCATCAAATTGTAAGCCTTGCATGCAGACTCAACATCCATCATCCTGTTACCTGTTCATTGTATACCTGAAGATAGAGGTCCAAGCTTTCTTGGCCTTTGTACAACGTCTTTGTCCACGATCTGCCCGGCAATCTTCTCAACGACGTTCTTCCAAAATTCAACGATATGGTTTGCCCAGAACAGATCCCATCATGCGCGCGAAAGATAGAACCTCGATATCCATTCGATCCCTTGTGAGCATACCTTCGCGGTTGCTTTTAACGCAGACATAGAAGGTGACATTTTCGATGGGATTGGGAGGCATCTGAGAAAAAGAGACATATTTGTATAGATCAATGCCCAATGCATTCCAAAGTAAGCTGCGGAGCGTAGACGAAAAGTCTCTTCGGTGATGCTTCCCAGCAGCTGGGCGAAGTACACGAAATCCCTCAGAGCTGACATTGATGAACGGTGAAATGAAATCACTCAGGCTTCCTGACTGGGTAGGCCCAGAGATACATTTCCAAATGAAGCCATGTAGTCAGATAACTTCATAAGATCGATCCAAGTCTGAGCCTGGGATGAAATAGAGCTGGCGATTGAAAGGCATCGAAAGGAGTCATGTAGGCATTCCGCTTTCATTCCTCCATAGCTCACACCAATGTATATGATTCTCAATAACATCCCTCCCTTGGAAGATGGATGAGGTACAAGAAGGTCTCATCAAAGCCTTGACCAATTTCGTCACACATTAGGCATCTTGCAAGGCGACGATTTGCGGTTCGTGGGAGGATTCTATTGCTTCCTCGTCCTCAGGGTTTGCAACATGAATCTCAGCGCGAGAATCGGACATCGGGGTCCCTGCCATTGTTTGAGCTTTGCCAGTGAGGTTGTCAACACCCTCCTCGCCTTGCCTTGTTAGCCTCCTCCTCCTCCCACTCCTCAGACTGGTGAAAATGTCTTAGAAATGGGACTGCTGAAGGAAGGGTTTGCACGCCAGAGAAAGTAGATCTGCGGCTTGGCCATCGTTTGATGGGGCACATTTGAGCCGCCGCAGCCGCTGCAGATAAGGGACCTCGTACCGGCAAGTACGCGGTACGCGGTATGTTGATGTCCTTCGACATGTCTCGGCGCAAGCGCCAAGGGGTCTTCTCTCAGGTTTCTCGCGTCGGGACATAAAAGTATGGATAGTATGGCAAACGTGGACCAGCAAAGGCAAAGGTCACACCAATCTTGTCGAAAGGAAGGGATTCTCGTAAAAGAATGAGGTCTGTTGCAACTCTTGCCTTCATATCGAAAATGTCCACAACAATATGTATATGGCCACTTCAGTGAAGTTAGTTCTCTGCGTCGAAATCATCAGAGAACTTGGACTCATTACAGTGCCCCCAATGAGCAAAAGCGGCCGTAAACTTCCTAAAACCCCGAAGTCTGGTCGAAATCCATAAATTCGGCAGCATGGCCAGATATCGCTGTTATAGCAATTGGCCTTAGCGAACCCTCGCGCGTGATGGACAATGCTCGTTTTGCGTCGGTCGCAGACGGCGCAATCTAGGTAATTTGTCTTACCGAGTCTTAACAAAGTCTACCGTTCGTCCTCTGAAATGTTGGGCCTTGCCGCAGAAATACCCATCCAGTTTCTGCCCACACGCCTTCCCTGGGTCATAAGCAGGGTCACTCGCCAAGCCCTGTTCAGCCAAACAATTGCTGAGTCTGCGTGAATCTCAACCAAGTGTTCGGGAGAATCACAGTTCCTGGGTTCATCTATCGCGCCTCTACACCCTTGCCCAGGGAGTTGCCTCCTAACATTGAATCCACGGACCCCCAGCCTGCGCACTCAATGCTTGTGGAAGGTAGAGCGAAAATTGCCAATCTCATTGCGCATGAACTTGCACTCAGCTGAACTGTAGGTTCCAAACCTATCGGCAGAAACCGGAAGTCTGACAGCAAGAAGGAGTTCACGCTCTTCCTCGGCAAGGAAAGATCCAGCGCCGCTCCAAAGTTGTGACCCACTGCGTCCTTCTCTTCACAACGATTACGGAAACTGATCTCGTGGGCTCGCTTGCAACTTCCCATTGCTGGAGGTTGCTGTCCCCAGAGGTACTTGTTGACACCATGGCCAGAACATTGTCCAAGTGGATTGCTTCGTTGTAAATCATACGCTGAAGCTGCGCGGAACTCTGATCTATTTCGCTTGGTGTGGCCAATGTCGCCAAAGAGGAACTTCTTAGGCATCACATCAGTATTGATTGATATCCGCCGAACCGAGCATTGGAAGAGCGTCAGCAATCCCGGACGCTTGGATTCTACCATTACGCCCGCGCTTCTCTGTGTTCTCAGTCCAGGGAACACCTACTCTCCATCTTGAGGTGCGTCAGTTGGTCAGGCGGAGGGGCGGAGGGGCGGACGGGGAAGACCCCGACTCATAGGTGTGGATCATGGCCACATTGACTTGCCGCTGATGTCCTCGCGGGCAATCCAACAAAAGTAACAGACATTCGAATCCCCCCCGCGGCCTGT